TGCAGCATGTGCAAATTGTCACTTATTGCAAAATTAATTCCTATCTTAATTTTCACTCACAAATAATGAATTTAATATAAACAAAGGTGAAACTAAGTTACAAAAGACCTATAAAATTTAATTCTAGGCTTAAAAAGGGTAAATAAATGCATATAAAAATTAAACTCATCAAATACCCCCAAACTTAAATTCTTGCTTGTCCTCAAGCAAAAGAAAGCAAAAAAAAAAATAGAGCTCATGTACATTCTTCCCCACACAGATAACACAAGGAGCATCAACATTCAACTTGATTTTTAGTTCAAATTTCAATAATACCAAGCAAGGGAGTCAATGACTATCACTTTCATATTTATGTTCATCTTTAAATAAACCCATGCAAACTTGCAATAAACACCACTGAAACATGTAACAACCATACCATGTAATTACCCCTTCTTCTCTATTTTTTTTCTCTTTTTGTTTTTTTTCAACCATACATCACAATCTTCCTTGAGCTATCACTTATCTTTTGACACGAATATTAACATTTGTGATGAAAGCATCTGGTTACTCAATAAGTCACAAATTCAAAGTGCTTTGCATGCTCATATTTCAAGTTACCGTTTGACGTGAAAGTTGACATGGGTCTCATGCCTAACCCCCAGTTACTAAGCACTTAGAAACATTGGAGTAGAAATTATCAAACTCTTTTGTGTGCTGGCTTATTCCTTCTTTTTTTTTCTTTTCTTTTCTTGTCAAGTTTCCTTAGGCTTTCTAAGTTGCCCATGTAACGAGCTTTTTGCCAATGACTCCCAAACCAGTTGGTTTTAGGGCACTAGGTGAAGAGACACCCCTAAGAGCATACTTACTCAAGTAACAAAGGCCACAAAAGATTTGACTTTTTGTTTTTTTCAAAGCAGTTTCCAAGGATAATTAGACAGGATAGTCATTACAGAAACAATGGCACCTACTCACAAGATGCATATAATTTCCAACCAAACCCTTATAAAATCAACTCTATCAACTCCTCTCATCAAGGTATTACTAAATTTTGCGCTAATAATCAAAGAAAAACAGTATCCTTCACTTGCAACATCTATGCAACAAAATATGTATAGGTTCATTTGACTATATTCACTCCATGCTAAAAAATTAGATTCACACGCATGTATCCACTACTCTAAATCTTCAAACCACAATAGAAGCAAGAACACAAAAATATGCTCCCCCAAACTTGAAATTAACATTATCCTCAATGTAAAAAAATAAATGAATAGGAGAAGAAAAACAATACTCCCCTATCTTGCTCTTCCTGCTGTAGGCATGCAATGTGTTCTTGTAGAGCCAAAAAAATCTTGTCGTAGGTGCCTAAGATGCTA